AGAGAGAGAGAGAGAGAGAGAGAGAGAGAGAGAGAGATGTTTGTGTGTGTGTGTGTATATATATGTGGGTGTATATGTGTGTGTGTTTGTGTGTGTGTTTCTGTGTTGTATGTATGTTTGTGTGTGAATGCGAGAGACAGACAGAGAATAGCTAAGTGTTTCTTCTTCTTCTATCCTGTGGTTGAGGCAACCATGCGGGCACCACTGCATCTGAAAACCAGCTCTCGCCATCTATTTTTGTCCTCTGCTTTCCTCAGATTGTCACCTATCGTCTTTCCTGTCCACTCTATTCAATTCTACAGAGTTTTAACACAAAACAATTGTACAGTCTGAGAACAAACAAAACAATTGTACAGTCTGAGAACAAACAAAACAATTGTACAGTCTGAGAACAAACAAAACAATTGTACAGTCTGAGAACAAACAAAAAATTGTACAGTCTGAGAACAAACAAAACAATTCCCAGAACAAAACAATTCTACCTGACCCGACGAGCCACACTGGGAGTTTCATTTACAAATCACAAGTTCCGAAAAATCACAACAAACTTCAACAAACAAGATTGACAAAGACAGGAAGCAGAAAGCTTCATCCAACAATCCTAGCAGAAATCCCCCACCCTCCCCCTCTCCCTCTCCTATATAATTCCTATTTTGCTTGTTCTGAACTGGGGCTATACAAGAAAACAGTTCTGATTGGGTGAAAATTGACACTGCTGCTTGACGATTTAAAAAACCCCCAGTCAAATCCGGTATAGACGGAGATATATAAATGTTTATTAATGGAAAAAGCAAGAATACAAAAGTAGAAAAATATACAAATTTGTCCATTATAACAATAAAACACCCAGTTTTACCACAAGTGAGCATAGTTTCATTTTACGGAATAAGAAAAGAGGGGGGGAGAGAGAGAGAGAGAGAGAGAGAGAGAGAGAGAGAGAGAGAGAGAGAGAGAGAGAGAGAGAGGGGGGGGTGTGGACAGGAAGGCGCTGTCAGCTCGTCATTTGAACACCTGTCGACCGCCAGCTAGACACGGCGTGACTTTTTGTGGTTGTTTTTCCCCGTGTTGTGTCCCCGTCAACGGTGATCTCCCACAGCACGTCACTCTCACTCCTGCAATGGTCGTCAAAACTGCCCCGGGGGAAACAAACCGCCCAGAGGTCAAGGACATTGCGGGCCATAGACGCAGGACTCGAGGACACCAGGACACAGGGACACCACGAGGACATGAGGACAGTGGAGAAACTGCCGCTGAGTAGGTCAAGGCCGCCAGTAACGGACAAAATACACCCCACTAGTTCTTCTTTCCTCACAGACTCACAGGCCGTCACTGTACTTGACAAGGTCACATGACGACAGAATGTCGCCCGCAGTCGTCCAGTTAATGACATATGCTGACTTCATCGAGAGGTCAGTAAAAGTTAAAGCCACATACCAAAAAAATGTCTCATGTTGTACAGACGCGACAGAACGTAACTTGTCAACGAACATCCACTTGTACTTGTCAACTACGTACAGACAAATGAACGTTTATCTACACCTGAGCTCATTAACAATACAACGGCATTAGTTTCAGTGCACGACTTTGCACGCAGGTGTTGTGTAACTTTGCATACTAGCACACGGTCCATTGAAGAAAATACAGCAATATACCACCACAAAGCTCTGTCATTATGTCAGCAATATATATA